GGCAGCTGCAGCAGTGGGAGACGGAGGAGGAGGAGCAGGGGAGGCCGCACACACCCGTCACCCCAATACTCGCCACCCCCAAACCCTAAGACAGGCAGCACGGGGCGGGAGCGGGTGCGCGCACGGCAGGGCAGGTGCGCGCGGGCCTGGCGCAGGCTGAACGGGCCGAGTATGGGCCTGGCGCAGGCCATACGGGCCGCACGCGGGCCTGGCGCAGGCCGTACGGGCCGCGCGCGGGCCTGGCGCAGGCCGTACGGGCCGCGTGCGGGCCTGGCGCAGGCCATACGGGCCGCGCGCAGGCTGTACGGGTCGTGGGTCCCGGGGGCGCTTCGACGGGCGACGGGGGGGCGACGCGCAGGTCACTCGGGGCGCTTCGACGGGCGACGGGGGGCGACGCGCAGGTCCCCGGAGGAGCTGCGACAGAGCAGCAAACCACCCGGGCAGGGCAGAAAACCGCCGCGCGCCCAGCAGGGCGGCGCGACGGGCAGAAAACCGCCGTGCGCCCCGAGCGCGCGGCGGGAAGAAAAAATGGCGCGCAGCAGGCAGAAAAACGGCGCGCGCCCGAGGCGCGCGATAGGCAGGACAGCAGCAGCGGAAGCTAACGGTGGGCCCATGCACAGGATCGACCCGGGAGGGTCGACCTGCTCTGATTCCATGTTAGAATCTCAAAGAAGGAATGAATCAGAGAAGAGGGGTTTCACTAGCAGGCAGTTGAGTACATATAGCAAACCCTAAATTGGGTTGTACTCACTATTGAGTACCCCACTGCATGCTAGACAAATATAACATTCTGACACAACGCAGTGTAGGCGAGGTCTCCGGCAAGGAGACACGGGGCCAGAGGTTGAGCTGATGCGCAACGTACCGGACCGCAAACGGCCACAGAAAATGGGGAGCAACAGCATGGATCATGGAGGTACGAGCCACCTCCATGACTAAGCCAATGCGGCGCTCAGCAACCCCACGAGAGAAGGCCGGACAGGAACGGAAGCGTGAACGGCCGGAGAAGGCCCTCCCCACGACAAAAGTCCCGCAAGAGGTTGGAGGAGAAATCACCACCTCTGTCAGAGTGCAGACGCGGGACAGGAAGGTCCTCACGGAACCGCTCGTGAAGCTGGAGACAGACTGCACGGATCCAAGGGATCAAGAAATCAGGGACCTCACCTTTGCTGCGCAAGGGGAAGACCGTGGTGTAACGCGTGTAGTCGTCAACAACCAGCAGAAAGTAGCGCTCGCGGTCCTGTCCACTAACGCGGGCTGGACCCCACACGTCCATGTGGAGATTTTGCAGGGGAGCAGTCGTCGGGGGAAACGAGGAGGAGTGAGGAGCGGCGCGCTGCCGCCCCTTGACGCAAGGAAGGCAGGGTTGGGCGGGCGAGGGCGGGAGGGGAGGCAGAGACCTTGGAAGACCAGAAACAAGGAGGCGGGAGTGCATGCCACAAAGGCGTGGCAGGGAGGGGTGACCAAGGCGGTGGTGCCACAGGAGGGTCTGGTGCGACAGGAGGCGACAGGAGCGGGGGGGTGCTACCGGACCTGACGCGGACACCTGAGCAAACGCATCTACTTGAGGAGGCTCGGTATTCAGTGTGTACAGACTCGACCCAGGCCGACGGGTGAACGTGGCCAGGTGACGGCCCGTCCGTGTACACATGCAGATCGACACACGCTGGCCCACAGGAGTGGTGGTAGTGACCATCGCATCCTGGAGGGCAGCGGTACTCACCAAGTTCATAGATAACGAGGGGAGGTGAAGACCTGAGAGTGAGCCAAACGGAACCGCCGGACACGGGAGAACAGTGGAGGAACGGGCAAGAGCCGGGCCCCCGGAGGGGTCAGCCAGGCGGACCTGTACAGGTGCAGAGAGAGGAGTGAGGGTGGTTCTGTCGCGAAAGAAACAGCGGGAAGCACCTGAGTCAAGCGTAAAGGTGTGCAAGGCCTCAGCAGGCGCAGTACCAGGGAGAGCAGACTCACTAGCACCTAGAGCAGTAGCCTCTATACCTGGGTCAGGCGGCACACACAGGTAACAGTCACCCTCAGCACTAACACACAAGGCATAGATAGTAGCAAGGATAGCATCATACTCAAGAGCAAAGATATCAACTCCAAACCTAAGCAGCTCTGCCCAGCGGGGGCGCTCAGCCTCGTCACCAAACTCTGCGTGCCAAGCGTCGTCAAGGCGGGAGAAGCAGCGGTGCTGAGTGTGAGGCTTCCCACATGTCTGACCACCACGCTCACCCGTGCGAATGACATACGGGCAGCTAACACTACCCCCAGACGCCCCACGCTGAGCAAACCACTCACGAAGCTGCTGGGGCGAAGGGGTCTCGCTCGGACGCTGCTGCTGCTGCCTCTGGCCACCGCCAGAACCTCCCCTCTGAACAGCTCCACCCCGACTGCCACCACTCCCACTTCTGCCACTACCGCCACCCCCACCGCCTCCACCACTACCGCCACCAAAGCCCCCACTCACGTCACCACTCCCACCGCTGCCACCACCTCCGCTACCTCCACCACCTCCACTGCCGCCCCCAGTACCACCCCCGCTGCCACCGCCACCACCCCTGCCACCCTTGCCCTTGCTGTTGCGGCGCTTCCCACTAACAGCAGAAGCAGCCCCGACATCCGCAGCACCAAGGATGTCAACAGCAGCACCAGAGGTCTAGGAGGGGGGCAAGGGGGGAGGGGGAACACCCCTCAAAGAAGGGCGTGCGAGGAGTGCCACGAGCGGCACCTACAGCGACTACACTAGTCTCAGCTGCAAGGAGGTGCTGCTCGAGCAGGTCGACAGTGAGGGCTGTGGGGTCAAGTGCGAGAAAGTTGTCCCTGACAGCGCGAAGAGAGTCAGGGAGGCGGGTGACTATGAAGTAGAGAGTGATGTACATCGGGGGCGGGTTTCTGTCAAGGAACTCTGCTGGAAGGGCAGCGCGGTAGCGAGCGTCGCAAGTGTGAAGGTGGGAAACGAGGTCTTCTACCAAGGCAAAGGCTGACAGCTCGGGAAAGAGGTAGGGCAGTAGAAGACGGCCTAGAGCAGCAGTGGCAAGGGAGGAGTAACGGGCGACTACAGCGTCGTACATGGCTTTAGATGTCTTGTGCTGTCCGAAGTGAGCCCGTTCGGCTAACGGCAGGTGGTTGCGAACGGCTAAGCGAGCAGCAGCGTCACGGGTAAGCCACTGTGAGCGAGTCGCACTGTCAGCTGTTGCGGGAGGGGCGAGAGAGGCTCCAGACGTGTGGTCAAACAACGAAACGCTGTCTCTAGAATCGCTCAGTATGTACAGCTGTAAGGCGGTGAGCCATGTATCAAACTGGATCGGACAGCCCTCATGATCGAAGGTGAGTACACTGAGAGAAGCCATAGCGGGCAGAGCAGGGTGGCGCGCGACCAGCAGAGCAGCACGCAGGCAGGGCGGCGCGCGAGCATTAGGGAAGCGCGCAGGGCAGGGCAGGGCGGCGCACGGCTAGGGCGGCCAGCAGGGCGGTGCACAGCAGGGTAGGCAGCAGCAGGGCAGGGCAAGCAGGGCGGCGCAAGCAGGGCAGCGCAAGTAGGGCGGCACAAGCAGGGCGGCGCATGGGCTGCAAGGGGCGGCGAGCTGGCTGTAGAAGGGCGGCGAGCGGGCTGCCATAGTGTGGCGCGCGGGCTGCAATGGGCGGCGAGCGGGCCGCAAACGGGCGGCGAGCGGGCTGCAGGGGCGGCGAGCGGGCTGCAGGGGCGGCTCGCGGGCTGCAGGGGCGGCGTGCGGGCTGTAGGGGCGGCGCGCGGGCTGCTAAAGGCGGTGCGCGGGCTGCAGGGGCGGCTCGCGGGTTGCAGGGGCGGCGAGCAGGCTGCAGAGGCGACGCGCGGGCTGCTAAAGGCGGCGCGCGGGCTGCTAAAGGCGGCGCGTGGGCTGCAGGGGCGACTCGCGGGCCGCAGGGGCGGCGAGCGGGCTGCAGGGGCGGCGCGCGGGCTGCTTAAGGCGGCGCGCGGTCTGCAAAGGGGGGGCGCGATGGGCTGCAAAGGGCGGATTACGGGCTGCTAAGGGCGGCACAGCGGCCAGTAGGGCGGCGCGATCGTTAGGGCAGGGCGGCAGGGCAGCTAGTGGGGCAGCGCTCTATGGTGGGCCCTAAAAAAAATCGGTCGTAGAACGGACCTGCTCTGAAACCATGTCAGAACACTGAACGAGAATGGATGAACTATGAAAGAGTTGGGTACAAGCACTAACCCTATTTGGGTTGTACCCCTTATAGGCTATCCCACTATAGTCTACACAAAGTAAGCACTATAACATTCCGACAGTATGTAACTGGAGGCCCCCGTTGCCTATGTCTCAGAGACCCCACTTGTAATGAGAACGATGCCAATTGATAAGAATAAGAAAGCAAGCTTTCTCAATATTATATTTTTTAAACACACATAGTGTTTTTTTTTAATTGTGTATTGTGAAAGCGAAGCTGCTTGTATTGCACAATTGGCATCGTCGAAGCGGGCTAAACGCCCTTCTCCAACTATAAAAACCGTGGGTTGGAGCTCATATCCCTCCACCCACGTCTCAATTTTCAAACGGCTCACTCAACATTCCCACCACCCACCCTAGCGTAAACCGTTTCGCGCATGCCACTTGGATAGGGTATATTGTATCTAGTGATATGAGCATGCACTAGCTTGTGTTCAATTGTGATGCAAATGTTGTCAACAGCCATTTGTGATGAGAATGATGGCAATTGATAAGAATAAGAAAGCAAGCTTTCTCAATGAGAAAAAACAGCTGAGCGCAATAAGACCACATACCACAGCAAGAGTCCATTCCATGGTAACTCGGATAACTAAGGTACTGGAACTATGACCATCACCACCAACATGCTGCACAACCACCATGTAATCTGCATACGGTACTTATCACAATCATAAACATCACACAATCACTGCCATGCCAACCCCCCCCCGTTATGGTACCATCATAACAACCAAGCACCATGCCCTCCCCACCTGCAAATCCAACTTCAGGGACTCCCTCACACAAGACAACCTAAGGCGAATTCTTCCGTTTCATCAAATCCGAAAACAGCTTGGTCGGCGCAGAAAACCCCGCCTCCATCATGCCAAACATGGCTTTAATCTCCTCGTTCGGGTCATCCATGCCCTGCTTGCTCGGCAGCCCCCTAATTGGCGCCAGCTTAGTGCGCAGCGCAGCAACGGTATTGGCTAGAATCTGCTTCTCCCGCGCCCGTAGCGCTGCTGCCAGCATTTCTCGCTCCTCTGCTGCGGCTGCCTCTGCTGCAGCAGCAGCCGATGCCCGTTCAGCTTCACTCACCGATTGCTTCTGCTGCTGCCCCCCGCCAAAACCCCCGAAAAGCCCTCCAAAAACCCCGCCCCCGCCGCCACTGCTGCTGCTGCTGCTCTCGGCATTTGCCGCGGCGGCGGCGGCGGCGGCGGCGGAGGCGGCGCCGGCGGAAACGGCGGAGCCGAGATTGAGCAGCCGGAGGTCGTCCTCCAGAGTCTGCGGGAATTCCGCGACCCGGTCGTTACAGTCACGTAGCAGGATCTGCAGCGCCTCGTACTCGTTCGCCTCCGATAGCATCACATCGCGGTCGAAGCTGATTCCCGCGAGTTGCGCCGCATCCTGGAGCCGCGCGAGCCGCATGAACGCGATCAGCTGACGTGGAAAGCGGTCCGTGAAAAGAGGAAACATCTCCGATACAGACAGCCCCTGGTCGTTTAGAATCTGCCGCTTGAATTCCAACAGGGGGTCGCCAGGAACAAGCGAGACTGGCAGCAGAAGGAAATCGGACGGCGAGGGGCGCGGCACGAAGCCATACGTGAGGAGGAGATCCGCCGGGGTGCGATCCTGGCCGTACGATGCGAGGAGAGGATCGCCGGAAGAGAGATCAATGTGGGAACGAAGAACCACGCATTGCGACGCCGGGTCAAAATCGAAAGAAGAGGGCGGAGGAATAGCCGGGTTAGAGGGTGCGGGCGAGTGGTTGACTAGATCAGCCAAGGGAATCAAGGCGAATAAGTCGACCGAGGGGAGGTACACGGCACGCGACAGCACCACAGCAAAGGCTTTCTTAAAAGACTCCGGAGAAAAAGGAGCGGAGGCTGGAGAGGTCGGGAAGGAACTAGGGTCCGCGTCAAAATGCGTGGCTTTAAGAACGCTATACACCGCTTCCATTTCCGCCACCCGGCCGTCCATCTCGTCGGCGATCGTCGTGCCGGCCAGCAGCCGCTGCCGGTCGTCTGCCGGCCAAAGCAGCGGCGATGACGTGGCTTCCGGAAAAGTGCGAATGTACGGAGCCCAGAGCGACGCGTCTCCCTGAGAGCGCTCCCACATCAGCCAGAGAGTCAGGCCGACCAAATCGCCACGTCCCTCCGCCGCCTTCGCCACCACCGGGTGCTCCGCCACGTCGACAGACGTCACGACAAAATTCTCCGGCACGCGCAGCGCCACTTGGCCCTTTTTTATTGGGTCTTTGGCGGAAAGCCCGATTCCCGCGGCGCCGGCGTCCGCGGGCGCAACAGGTTGCGCGGGGAAGCCCGCGGAGGCTAGCCACTGCGCTAGCTCCGCCGCTCGCGCCAGGCGGGTCTTGTTTGAGCCGGCGGCTCCCGCCACTCCCGCGGCGACTGCGGAGATCACTCCGCGGCGGATGCCGCGGGAAGATGCCCGCGCGTGCGGAAGCGGAGAGGCGGAGAAAAGGCTCCGACGCCCCGCACCAGCGAGCGCTGCGCATGAGAGCGAAGAGAGGGAGGCTTGCGCGGTAGTTTGCGCGGCGTCGCCAGCCTCATTCCTCGCAGACCGCTGCGGCGCTGTGCGAAAGGCAGCGCGTGCGGTACTTTGTAACGAGATCTCCATCTCGCGCGCTACGGTGGGGAAAGAGGAGCCTAGATATTCACCTAAAGCCTGATCGGAACAATTTTGACGGCGTGAAGTAAGGCGACGACCTCGTGAAGAGCCTGATTGCCCAACGAGCGGCGAACTTCTGCTGCACGTCGCAGGTGTTTCAAGGCGACATCTGCGACAGGCCAAGCTATGGCGGTACGCAGGTCTGTTCTGGAACTGAGTCTGCTAGAGATGAGACTGACGAGGTGGAAAGAGCCAAAGTAGGGGAGAGTGGCATTGCAAGGAGTTGAAGGGACAGCAGAGCGTATATGGTTATGAGCGTTCGACAAAGTTGCATTGCTTTAAGGTCACTTTTTTAAGGGTTCCAAACCAGACACGACCTTGATTGGAGGAGATTTTTGGTAATGACGAGCGGAGAACCGTACACAGCATGGTTTGCGGTGGTTATGTGTGCACCAGAGCGGCGCGTCGAGCTGGCACTCTAGGGATTTCCCAAATCCAGGTGTCGTACAGTGATTGTGTGACGCTTTCGAGGCGGGGTGGGGTGCACAATGAACGCCCACCTCGTTACTCCATTACAGACAGGATAGCCTAAGAAGACCAGTGGAGGAGATCATAAAACAAACGGCTTGCCTAAAAAGAAAGGAGAATTACAAAAATATGTGCTCCAACACATCACAGAAGAGTACGTTTCTTCGCTGTATTCATATATGGCCGAATCACCCACTCGTTCTCCGCCTCTGGCTGGTCCATTGTTCCCAACTTAATCTGCCAAGAGAACAACATAAAAAGCAATAACAGCGTTAGCAACAATCCCAACAAACACTCTAAAATAAAGCATCAAAGGCAACCGTAGCAGGAAACTGCAGCTGGCAAAACAAAAAGGGAGAGGCGCCGTGTGCGGCGTACCTGGTACAACCGGAGCTCAAATCTAGGCCCGACTTCCTTGAGCTGTAGAGACTTGGGTCCTTGAGGCTTCTCGTATACGTGGTGACTGCACAGAGGAACAGCCGTGCATGATGGGCGGAGGAGCAGGGTTTCGGGTACAAGGCGCAATGTTATCAACAGTCAAGGAATATGAACCAACTGGTGTAACAAACACTAACCAACAGCTCTGGCGGACAGTAACCAGCCGCAGCGCTAGCAACAGACTCAGAGAAGCAGCAGGAGCAGAGGAACAGGAGGAGCAGCAGCAGGCGCAGCAAAGAACAGCAGCAGGCACTGACCGGAAGGAGATGTAGTCGGACTGGTTGGCAAATGTGATGACACGCTTAGAGTCAGGCTTGGGCACCGGGAAGAGATACTTGAGAATGTTGCTCGTGCGCTGCCCCAACTGCAGTGGACAGGGGGCAGGGGATAGCGTTGGATAGGGGCCAGGGTGCGGGAAATCAGGAGTGACGAACAGGGATTGCGAATCGGGGGCGCAAGGGGAAAGGGGGGAGGGAAGGCGAGGAACGACGGGCCAGAAACGAAGGGAGGGTGAGAGGAGGGGGGGGTGAAAGAAAATCAGAATTGATTCTTGGAAGACTTCAGACTACACAGGAGACGATTGGGGAGAGGATGAGGATGATGCATGCAAAGAGTACATAGAAGGGTACCTAAAAGAGTACCCAAAAGAGTACCTTGGTGGAGAAATTATCGAGAATGAGGTGTGGGTATGCCTCTGACATGGTGCCTATGGCGGCTCTGTCCTGAATGTCATGCCGCGTCACCTGTTGCACACAGATAGCAGCACCTCGCACAGCAGCACGCACAGCCGCATCACACACACCAGCACCACGGGCAATGCAGAGCAGAGAAGAAGCAGCACAGGCAGTGTTTTGAGACGTCTCAAAACACAGCAGCACGCACAGCCGCATCCCACACACCAGCACCACGGGCAATGCAGAGCAGAGCAGAAGCAGCACAGGCAGGCACAGGGCAGAGGCAGACAGCATCCAGGAGGGTGACAGCACAGAATGGGGAGATGTGGGAGTAGAGGAGTGAGGAGCGCAGAAGGCAAACAATGGTACAGCGGAAGTGGAGGAAGGAAAGGGGAGGGGAGGGGGGGAGGGGAGAGTGGGGGTGTTGGGGAGAGGGGGTTTGGGGCCACAGGACAGGCATATTTTAAAAGCCTGAGAAAAGAAAAGGAAACGGAAAAAACGGAGAAAAGGAGAAGAAGTAGGAAAAGGTGACAGAAAACAGAGAACAGGTGAATGAGTGAAAACACGCACCATGTTGAGCAGGCCAAAGTAGGCGGTGGGGCCGTAGGGCAGGTAGGCAGCCGTAGGGCCGTACGGCTCTCATAAATGGCAGGCAGGCAACAAGCCTATGAGACTGCCTGCCCCGTGTGCTCGTACTTTCTACACGTCTAGAAGGCAGGCAAGGCAAAAAGCAAGACCCTGAGGCAGAGGCACGCACCACGTTGAGCAGGCCGAAGTAGGCAGTGGGGCCGTAGGGCAGGTGGCACACGACTAGCCCACAAGAGTGCCTGCCCCCCTTCCTGCCCCCGTGCCTGCCTGCCCCCCTTCCTGCCCCCTGCCTGCCTGTCCTCCTGCCTGCCCCCCTGCCCCCATGAGACCCCCCTTATATGAGAGAATGCAGAGAGAGGACACGCACCACGTTGAGCAGGCCGAAATAAGCGGTGGGGCCGTAGGGCAGGTGGCAGACGACTAGCCCGTCAGGCTGCCCTCTGTGCTCGTGCGCCACTATGATGTCTGTGAATGCGCTGCTGCGCGCCGATGCCACAATCTCGTTTATCACCTGGTGGGGGGAAGGGGAGTGGAGGGGAGAGAGAGAGGAAGAAAGCAGAGTTGGAGTGCGACTTTAGAGGCGCCTCAAAAGGATTTGGAGGCGCAACTTCCCCAACCAACCCAACCTGCCTCCAGCCCCACCAATTCTCCCCTCAGACCCACCTGGCCTCCGCGGTTGATGCGCTGAGCATTGGGGAAGACGATCTTGAGCTCCTTCACAAACTGCGTGAGGCGGGTTAAACGGGTTTTCCAGGTGCCTCCCAACTCACAACGCAATAACCCAACCCACCTAGCCTCCCCGCACCGCAGTCCCACCCCAACCTTCCCTATCCGCACCGCAGTCCCACCCCAACCTTCCCTATCCGCACCGCAGTCCCACCTCAACCTTCCCTATCCGCACCGCAGTCCCACCCCAACCTTCCCTATCCGCACCGCAGTCCCACCCCAACCTTCCCTATCCGCACCGCAGTCCCACCCCAACCTTCCCTATCCGCACCGCAGTCCCACCCCAACCTTGCCTATCCCCACCTGCCCTCCGCGGTTGATTCTCTGTGCGTTGGGGAAGACGATCTTGAGCTCCTTGACAAACTGCGTGAGGCGGCTGCTGGGGTCGCGCGACGTGGTCAGCAGCACGCGCGGGTCCTCCTCGCCCGCCCTCGCATACTCGTCGTCCACATGTGATCGCGGCTCTGGGGAGGCGCAAGGGAGGTGGGGGAGGGGGGGGGGGGGGGGGGGGGGGGGGGGGAGTAGAGGGGAATCGTGAGAAGCACACGCGGGTACTCCTCGCATACTCGTCGTCCACTTGCGACCGCGGCTCTGGGGGACAGCAACGGCAGGGAAGGGGAGGCGGGGAGGCGTGGACGAGAAAGGAGGCGGTGAGCAGACTTTAGAGTGAACGCATGGGTTCACTCAAAAGTCACCACGTGCGCCCGCGGCTCTGTGGAGGGAAGAATATCGACCAAACCCACCTAACCCGCCAAATTCCCCAACTCCCTCAAACCCTACAAACCCTCCAAACCCGACCCCTTATCCCCCACCTGATCTCCCTCCGTTAGCTCCCCCTTTCACCCGTCCCCCGTCCCCCATCCCCCCTTTCCATGTCCCCCGTCCCCCGGCTCCCCGCGTTACCCGCGGTGTAGTCGTCTTCAAGGTCGATCTCGTCCCGCAGCGCCAACGCCTCTTTGGGTGGCCCAAACCCGTCAAACCCCCAAACCCGTCAAACCCGTCAAACCCGTCAAACCCTCAAACCCGTCAAACCCCCAAACCCTTCTTCCAATCTTTCGCCTGACCCCCCGTCCCCCGCACCCCGTCCCCCCCGGCTCCCCGCGTTACCCGCGGTGTAGTCGTCTTCGAGGTCGATCTCGTCCCGCAGCGCCAACGCCTCGTTGCGCAGCTCCGTGGGAACCGGCCGACCCTCTGGTGGCCAGAAAGACAAGAGATAGGAGGGAGGCCAAGGGAGGGATGCGAGAGGAGGAGCACGCAAAGAGACGCGCGAGTATTGAGGCGGGATGAAGCATCGTCGAATCGCACGCGGAGGTGCGCGCGAGAGACGGAGGAGAAGAAACAGAAGAACAAGACAGTGGATTACGGAAGCCAGGAAAGAAATTCCGGAGAATAGGGAAGGGATACGAGCGCCCTATTGCTGATAGGTGAATGGAGAAATGCAATGAGACGGCGGGAAGAAAGGGCACGCACGGATAGCGTGCACTGCGCAGTGAATCGCGGCATAGCGCCAGTGCGAACAGCGCACTGCGCGTAGCGCACAGCGAACAGCAGAGCGCGTGGGCGCGCAAAGCGCAGAGCGCGTCGTGGGCGCGCACCTTGCAGCGCCTGGCGGATCTTGAGCTTCTTCTCGTACTGCACGCGCTCCTTGCCCTCCAGGTTCTTGCGGTACAGATACTCGCGCCGCAGCCGCGCGTTGCGCCGAATCATCGCGCCGACCGCGCTGGATTCCTGGGAGTGTTGGGCCGAAACGGGGGAGGCTCGCTGCGGCTACGAGCTGCTGCGATGCTGCGTGTGGAGTGCTTAGTCTAGGGTTTCTGCGGGGTTCGTGATGGGCTATTGTGAAGGGTGAAGGAGGTTTGCAGCAAAGCTTTTACTTGAAAACTTGTGCCAGTTGCCGTCGCAGTTTCGGGTACTATGTACCGTAGCGGTTCAGAGCGGTGAATCGAACGAACCGCTTTGCTTAGCAGCGTGAAGGACCTTACATCCGTTTATGATAATGAAATGCCACGGTAACTCAAGAAAAAAACAAATGACTGAGGTTGCACAAAGGGGAAAGAGCCTTGTTAGAGCAGATCTTATCACATGCGTTTTCACATCTTGTACCTAATGTGTACTGTTGGTTAGAATAGGAGGCAAAAGTGATGTCGACTGTCGAGAGGGTTGGTACAAAGAAAATGAACCTAAGGGGTTGTACCCCACAGTGTGTACCCCACTAAGCCTACCCAAACTATAACATAGATATACATATGTTTGACACACCCCCATAGGCAGAGTGGGGGAGAACAGAGGGTCACAAGACCAGTCAGGAAGTGCAAAGCAAGCTCAGGGTGGATCACAACGTCACCACGCAGTCTGAGCACAAGCAAGAAGGCCACAAGGCCAGTTCACATGCAGAGATATATATGTAACAACAACAGTACAGTGAAATCTACCTACAAGAACAAGCATGCAGGAATACATATAAATCATGGTACAAACAAAGCCTACAGCAAGTGAGGAAGAGTGGGCACAAGGCCTAACAAAGTGCAGAAACGCTGATGATCACCAGGCGGAAGTGCCTTGGTGAATATATCAGCAGTGTTGGCCCGAGTGGCCACGTAGGTAAGACGAAGCTGGCCACGCTGCTGCAGCTCTCGAGCAAGAAAGTAACGGAGAGCGATGTGCTTCGTTCTGTGCTCCAGTCTGTGCTCCTGACACAAGGCAATGGCGGCCTTGTTGTCGACGTACAGCACTGGAGGAGAACGAGGCCGCTCTCCCAAGTCGGTCAGCAGGTAGGTAAGCCAGCGAAGCTCCTGTGCAGCCATGGCTGTGGCGTAGATCTCAGCCTCACAACTGGAGCCGAGAACTGAAGACGAGCGTGTAGAACGCCAAGAAACTGAACCAGAGCCAAGGCTGAAGGTGTAACCCTGTGACGACCGCTGCGTAGCCTGGTCGTCAACCCAAGAGGCGTCCGAGTGACCAGTGAGGACAACGTCACCCCGTCCTCCAAGCACGAGCCCCATGCCCGATGTACTGCACAAGTAGCGTAGTACGCTCTTGGCAGCATCCATGTGCACCTTTCGGTGCCGACCAGGAGCCACGTAGCGAGCCAGAAGGCCAAGAGGGTACGCAAGGTCAGGACGAGTGCAAGTCATCAGGTACATGAGGCAGCCCACTAACTCTGGATAAGGACCACTCGGCTCTACGGACTCGTCCGAAGGTGGAGCTGAGAGCGAGTGACCTGTAGCCAGAGGAGTGGCCTGTGCTGAGGACCAGGTGAAGCCGAAGCGCTGAAGGACCTGCTGCACCATGTGTGACTGAGTCAGTGTGATGGTGCGGCGTGCTCTGTCCCGAGTGATCTGCAAGCCAAGGTAGCTGCGCAGTTCACCCAGGTCTGTGCATGTGTGTCTCTTCTGCAGCTCCGACTTCACCAGGGCGAGAGCCTCAGTGTCAGCAGTGGCAAAGACCAAGTCGTCGACGTACACGAGAACGTAGAACGGCGGCAGCGAAGTGTCGGTGCGCAGAAACAGCGACGGGTCAGCAGTCGACGGAGCAAACCCAAGGGCCGCAAGTGTCGTCCTCAGTGTGTCGTGCCACTCACGTGGCGCCTGGCGGAGACCGTAGACCGGCCGCCGGAGGCTCCACTGGGTACCAGGAGCGAACGACCCAGTGAAGCCAGGAGGGCGGCGCAGCCAAATCTCCTCGTGCAGGCTGCCCTGTAAGAAGGCTGTGCTGAAGTCAAGAGAGTGAAGCTCGTAGTCACCTTGAGCGGCAACGTGCAGCAGCACCCGAAGAGTGGTCATCTTCGGGGTGGGGGAGAAGGTCTGGAAGAAATCAACTCCCTCTCGCTGACTGAAGCCTCGAGCCACGTAACGAGCCTTGAAGACAGGCGGAGAACCTGGCGGCCGCTTCACCCTGAAAATCCACATGCCACTGACAATGTTCGCCCCAGGAGGGGGAACCTCGTCGACGTAGGTGCCTGTGGACTTCCAGGATGCCATCTCTGCATCCATGGCTGTCTGCCACTGAGAGGAGTACTCACCCGCGATCGCCTCAGCGTAAGAGCGCGGGGTAGGGATGTCTGGTGCATCCGGGTCTCCCTCAGGGGCGAGCAGCATGGATACAAGATGAGGCGCAGCGGCTGCAAGACACTCAAGGTCCTCCTGCCTGTCCTCAAGGAAGTCCGTGCCAAGAGCACAATCACCCCCGACGGACGGAGGACAGACAGACGCAGACTCAGCAACAAGACCGGCGGCGTAGTCTAGACGACAGTGAGCAGCAAAGGCAACAAGCTCAGTGACTAAGGCAGACGCAGCAGCAGACTCAAACGAAGGGTCAGTGACAACAGTGGCAAGCAGATGCGTGACAGTAGAGTGCTCAGCACGAAACCAGTCAGACGCAGGGTCAGCAATGACAGGCAGAGAGGACGCAGGGGGAGGCGGCAGAGGAACACGCGGTGAAGGAGAGGAAGGACGACGAACTACAAGGGGAGGGCCGGAGACAGCCGGCTGGCACTGACGAGGAACACGACGACCGGAACTGACAGGGGAGACAGGACGCGACAGAGGCTCACGACGCTCTGCAAGGCCACCAGGCTGCTCTGTGTACGGAGAAGGAGCAGGCAGCGGTGAGCTAGGCTGTAACGGAAGACCAGTAAACGAGGGAAGACTGAGAACCTGGCGAAGTGCAGAGTCAGGTGGTGGCTGAGACGACGGAGACGGCGGAGCAAAGAACAGGCGCGGCTGAGCAGTGCCACCAGCAGCTCCAGCAGCTCCAGCAGCTCCAGCACCCCCAGCAGCTCCAGCACCTCCAGCAGCTCCAGCACCCCCAGCGGCTCCAGCACCTCCAGCAGCTCCAGCACCTCCAGCAGCTCCAGCACCTCCAGCACCTCCAGTACCTCCAGCAGCACCACCACCAGCCCCAGCAGCTCCAGTACTCCCAGTACGAGCACCTCCGGGACCAGCGACACCAGCAGAAGAACCTCCAGCAGGAGAGCCCTGAGGTGCAGAAGTGGGACGCCGACGGTGAACGTACCAGTCGTGCAGCTGCTGGGAGGTGAGGGGCACACGCGGACGAAGACGGCTACTCCAAGGAGACCGCGTAAAAGCAGTCTCAGAACCCTCAGGCAACTCACCCCCAGACTCAGCACTCCCAGGCTCCGCACACGCAGGCTCAGCACCCCCAGACGCAGCACCTCCAGACGCAGTACCCCGAGACGCAGCACCTCCAGGCTCCACACGCTCAGCGACCCCAGACTCAGCACCCCCAAGCTCCGCACCCCCCGGGACAGCACCACTCGCAGCAGGACCGGAGTCACCAGTGACCTCAACAGGCGCAGGCGCAGGGGGGTCTACCTGAGAGACACCTGAAGGAGCAGGACCTGGCGCGGGGAGGGGGTCTACCTGGGGAGGACCTGGGGCGAGAAAGAGCGGCGGGGGGGGGGGCGAGGAGCAGTGCGGTAGGGGAAGAGGCGTTAAAAGGGGACGGACTTGTCAAAGGTGACGTCCTGAGACGCAAAGACACGGCGCGAGGCGGGGTCGTAAAACTGCCAGCCAGGCGCGTCAGGGACAAAGCCAAGGAAGACGCAAGGAATGGCGCGAGGGGAGAGCTTGTCCGCGGTGGTATCGCGGACAAAGGCACGAGCACCCCAGACCCGGAAATGCGACGCGTCGCCAACCTTCCCCGTCCACAGCAGTGTGGGCGAGGTCTCCGGCAAGGAGACACGGGGCCAAAGGTTGAGCTGATGCGCGGCGTACCGGACCGCAAACGGCCACAGAAAATGGGGGGCAGCCGCATGGATCATGGAGGTACGAGCGACCTCCATGACTAAGCCAATGCGGCGCTCAGCAACCCCATTCTGTTGCGGAGAGGCCGGAAGCATGAAAGTCTGGCGGATGCCGTGCTCCGCACAGAAGGCTGCCAAGAGGTCTGAGGAGAACTCACCACCTCTGTCAGAGTGCAGACGCAGGACAGGAAAGTCCGACTGGAACCGCTCGCGGAGCTGGAGACGAGTAGCGCGGATCCAGGGGATCAAAACATCAGGGACATCCCCCTTGCGCTGCAAGGGGAAGACCGTGGTGTAGCGCGTGTAGTCGTCGACAACCAGCAGGAAGTACCGCTCGTGGCCCTGTCCACGGACGCGGGCTGGGCCCCACACGTCCAGGTGGAGAGTCTGCAGTGGAGCCTCTGTGGGAGGGAACGAGGAGGAGTGAGGAGCGGCGCGCTGCCGCCCCTCGACGCAGGGAATGCGGGGCGGCGCAGGCGAGGGAGGGAGGGGAGGCAGAGACCTGGGAAGACCAGAAACCAGGAAGCGGGAGTGCATGCTGCGTAGGCGAGGCAGGGAGGGGTGACCAAGGCGGTGGTGCCACAGGAGAGTGTCATGCGACAGCCGGCGACACTCACACTGTGTAGCTACCTGAGCAGACGCGTGCAACTGGGGAGACAAAGGGGCGGAGCGCGACGCAGTGGTGAGGGTGTACAGACTGGACCCTGGCGCACGAGCGAACGTGGCCAGGTGGCGACCAGTCTGGGAGCACGTGCAAATCGCCACACGCTGCCGGCCAGGGGTGAAGGTGTCAACCCCCGCATCCTGGAGGACAGCGTTACTCACCAAGTTCGTAGAGAACGAGGGGAGGTGGAGACGAGACAGCTTACCAGACGGGACCGCCGGACACGGAAGCACAGTGGAAGACCGTGCAAGCACTGGGCCCCCAGAGGGGTCAGCCAGT